AAAGGGGGAGAGAGGGAGCTTACGTTGATATCGTCGCCGACGGAGTTGAACTCCTTGTTGGCCTTCTGACCCAACCAGTAGGAGCCGACCTTGTTAAGAATCTGATCCATCCTGGATTTTCCTTCTCCACAGGCACAGAACTAGATCTGAGCCTTAGCGAGATCCGTTCAAGGAGAAAGCAAAGTTCCTCTCTGTTCCTTTCTCAGACTTTTCAGCATTTCTATTGTACCAAATTTTGCTCTGCTGGAAATTTTCTTCACCACTAAACGTTCGCCACGTCATTAATTTACTATCTATCATCTCATGCATAAAATAATGGCAAAAACCCTACTTAAGCCCTTGAACTTGCCTCAAAATAATATTTAAAACCCTAAACAAAAAATGAATAAAATAAACCCTCTAACTCCACTGGTGCAAGTAAATTCTTATCACAAATGTCTTGAACATATGAATCTAAGATGCATTGATTTCATTTGTTATCTATTACGCAATAATCCATGCAGATGCCTTACTCTTATTTGGGCTGTCAAACCAAGGGGAATAGTACACATTGTAGAACAAACAAAAATAGTATATGTCATATTTAACTTGTTTTTGATAAGGGTGTATTTAGAGTTGAGAGTTTATTTACTTCATTTTTAGTTTGAAAATTTAAATGCTATTTTGAATAAGTTTAGGGGTTTAAGAAAGATTTTGCCTAAAATAATTTTGATTTGTTGACGAAATCCATGTTTTACGGGGGCGGCTCCTGAACTTAACAATCAGTGACAAATTAGTCCCTAAACAAAATGCAAAAGCAAACTAGCCCTCAAACTTTGGTTCCACCTCCAACTAATTGAAATCTATTGTTTCAATTTTCACTCCGTATGTTCTAGTGCCAACAATGCAGAATGTAGCAAAAAACAACTTTAATTTGTTATTAAGTGTAAATTGCATAACTTAAAATATTAAATAAAGATAGACTCTCCAAATATAAGAATTATCACTTTTTCAAATGGTCATGATTTTACAATACAATGAAAATAATAATATTCTTGCATCAAATCCTGTCTAAGTTCTTAATCTAAACAACACTAAATTTATCTACTTCAAATGGTTTCAAATAAGTAAGAGTTTTAAACTATGGATTACTATTTTAAAGTTCAAGCTATAAAAAATAAAATAAAATGAGATTTGAAAAATGAGATAATCTTTTATTAGGCATATCCAAAAAGCGATATTAGAGCATGTAGAGGGAGGAAAAAGGTTTTTTCATTTAGATAAGACAAAAAAAAAAAAAAATAGAGGAAAGGGAAGGAAAGAAACTTCTATTATTTTATTTTTTAGAAATTTCTTTACTCATTTTAATATATCTAAATCAGGGTGTTATCCCAAAAAATCTCCTTGACATGTGGCAGATGAAATGGCGTACCACTTGCTTTGCTCAAAACAAGAAAGATTTCTCCGATGACCCTCTCTTCTTTCCAAGCGTGGAACTCAACTTGTGAGTTGATGGAAGAACGTCGTAAATTACGCCTTAAAGATCAGATGATTGGCAGAAACGAGGGATGAACTTCCTGCACTAAATGGGTTATACGACAAAATGCCTTGGATATGATTCCAAAGACTCCTTAAAGCTAATGTAATCAAGAAAAGTTAACACTGCAAAGTAAATAAATGATCGCTAAACTATTGAAAATCTAAATGAACTTTAAATATGCAAACTGGATTGAAACAGAGCTTTAAAAGAAAATTTAATTGCAGCAAAAGTAAATTAAGTTAAAGTAAATAAAACCAAAAACAAGGAAAATCTACTGGCAGCATGAAATATAAATTAATAGAAATGGAAGTGAACATAAAATTAAATGTCGACATCATTTGATTTAATTAAAGGAAACTTGGAAAATAGAAAAGGAAAAGAAGCAATCCGATCACAAAGAAATACTACTGAAAGGAATGAAACTCACCATTACAAATCCAACAAATGAAGAGCTGAATTACTAAACTAATCTAGGCCAAAGCGTAGAGTTGAAATTAAATTAAAGGGGCTTGAAACTAAGATAAATCTGAGCATAAAGAGAAATTGTACTGAGTTTGTTGTGTGAGATGTCGATCCTTTGCTTGATCTTATCATTAGGTATTTATAACATCTTTGCAACATGGTAGAGATCTGTGGCAGCATCCTGAAAAACCAACGGCAACGTAATATCTACAACAAATTGATTAATTTGTTGGTGCTGTGATTATTCTCCTAGAAGCTCGCAACAAGAGAACGGTTTTCCTGCCATTGTGGAAATAACCACTAAATCTCATCTGAAAAAATTCACACCAACTTTCAACTAATAAAATATCTGTCATCATGGATGACATGTGACAGTACTCCATTTGTTGTAAAATTAGGTGTAAACACAGGGAATGAGAGGAAAATTGAAGGTTATTATATCCCTCTATTTTCGCAATCCCAATTATTTCCAATGAACCAAATACGCTTTTAATAGAATTTGACTTCATGTAGTGATGTAAGGATTAAGGAAATCTTAGCACTCTTGGATTGAAATTAACTTGTAAGCCATGCGTATACCTTGTGTCACACTATTATGCATTCGGTGATCAACTGAGTCAACTCATTCACTTATCTCGTTCTACGACGCAACGAATGTTTTGTTTCTTTCTTCATTATGCACACGTTTCCTGAAAATCTGATGAACAAATAGATGCATTCATCCTCTTCTCCCTTCACTGCTATGGATGCAATGTATCGGTTGCTGATGATCAAATTACTAACCGACTGCGATCAACCCTTTACGCCACCTGTTTTTAAATCCGTTGCTTGATATCAAGCACCAAACTTAGCTTTTTTTTAAAAATAAAATAAAATAAAATAAAAATATTGTATAATTTAAACTGTACGACACTACGACTTATATCATTAAATAAGAGCATGCTTGTTAACTATCTATTAGTTCGAGTGAAAAAAAATTAATTTTTTAAAACAAAATCTCGAATTCAAATCTTATAGATAGAAAAATAAATACTGAAACAGTTTTCTCATTTATAGTTCAACACGACTCAATTTTTTTTTTTTTATTTTGATTGCACAATAAGAAGCAATTATCTCTCATCCCTTATCACACCTCACCTGCATCTTATACAACTCAAATTTAGGATCTCTTACTTTCGGCGAAAAGAGATAACTACTGAACTATTTCGATTGTTAGCAACAAAACTCAATTCTAAATTAATTAGAATCCAATATAATTTTTAAATACTAAAGATTAGTAAAAATAAATAAAAGTAAATTTTTTATATTAAAAACTCTTGTTCATCTAATTATTCATATTTTATAATTTAAACAGCAAACATGAAACTTTTATTATTATTATTTTAATCAACTAAACTAAGTTTCTTTTGTGTGTGTGAACGCGTTTTAGGACATCTTTCGAATTTCGAATTAGTATATATCTTTGTTCCATGCGTCTCTGTTTTGAGTTAATATCTAATAATGTTTATAATTAAAAGAACATGACAGTACCACAACTCCAAGTTGGTCACATTAATGCATTATAAATGTCTAGTGGAATTATAATTTTGCAACGGGTTAAGAGAAGAATCAACAATCTTGATAAAGAAATTTATCATGATATATGGTAGTAGTTCGTAGATGTGTGTATTATACAAGACCTTTAGGTAAGAACTCGATGGTTTAACACATTTACAAGGTATATACTTAGTAACTCCATGTAAATTAGGTCTAAGGGTTTTTTTTTTTTTTTAATCTTTATAAATAAGTTGAATGTCTCTTTGTCAATAATTTTTTTTTTATCTTGATTATATAGTAGGAGGTAATCATCTTTCATCCCTTATCTTACCTCACCCGTATATCATGTAACTCGAATTCAAAACCTCTTACTTTCAGCAAAAAGAAATAATCATTAAATTATTTAGGTACATGTCAATAATTTTTTTAATCAGCCTCTCTGCCAATAAATTGATTGTTTTGGAGTTATTATTTGTTACCTTATTAATGCATTCTTTTTAAGCTTTACCTTTAAAAAATTTAACAAAATCCTTCCAAATGATGTAATTGATGCCGATTTTACCATTCAATATATTTGATTGTGGCCATAAATTAAGAAAAAAATGAATGAGAGATGTTACTTACTACTCCCTCCAATTCAACTTTAGTTATTCTATTTTAATTTTGACCTTTTGAATATTAATTTTAAACAAAATTTTAATATAATATAGAAATGACATTTAAATTTTTTTAATTTAGTAAAATTACTCAACAAAAATTTATATATAAGCAAAAAAATTTGACTTTTTTTGCTAAATTTTTATTTGAAATCAATGTTTAAAAAATTAAAATTTCAAAATTAAATAACTAAAATTAAACAAAAAGAGTAATTGTTTATCTATAAAAGATTATTAAAAAAGAGATTAATAAAAGATAGTATACCCGTTACAAATTTGACTCCAATTGTTACAATTGATTTAAGTTCGACATTTTCGTCATTGACCTACATTCAAAAACTGAAACTCCTTAATTACGGGTTGAATTCCAAGTTGATATGATCATGACTCATGAGCAAAAGGATGATCAGCAAGGTATGACGGGGTCCCAGGGCATACCACCACATGAAAGCGTACCTGATGAGGATCATGTGCTAAAGCCTCCCAACTTGTCCTTACTTTATGTTTGTTTACTTCACCGAAACAACAGAAGAATATCACGTTAAGCACGTAAAAGGAATACTACGACAAAACTTTGAAAAAAATGGCTGCTACTTTGAACGGTGGAAGGAGTAAACGCCTGCTGCCAGAGGCAAGAGGAAGAATTTGCGGCAGTTTTTGTTGCTTAAAATTGCATTATATTGTCTTCAGCTGTCTTAGTTTTATCCTAATCGTTCGCCTCACGTCTCTCCGCCACCAACTTGCTTTTCCATTTGCTAGTTGCTACTCTATTTGCTCGCAGCTCACTCTTGCCAACAATTAGTACCATTTTGCCACATCTACCCTTGTGATTAACTTCTACTAATTAATACATTTCTTATAGTGACACTATTTTTTACAATATAATGAACTACTCCCTCCAATCAAATTTAGTTGTCTTAATTTAATTTTTAAATAAAATTTGACTAAATAATTTTATATAGTAAATAAATGATAGTTAATTTTTTTTCCTTTTATTGATAGTTCTTGTTGGTTATTTTCATTTAAATCAAAAAAAAATTTCAGTTATCATTCATTTATTATATAAAATTGTTAAATTAATTTACATAAAATTAAGGGATTGGAACAACAACTAAAAAAATTAGAGAGAGTGTTAGATAATACTATCAAATTAATAGTAAAAATTGAATTCACTGATAAATAAGTATATTATTATAAGTGAGTTTTAAAATTTAAATATTGAAGTCAAAATCAAAGGAAAGCCAATATAAAAACGGACTCTTAAGATTATCAAATATATAGATTAATTAATTATAAAATGAATGAAAATTCATGCAAAAACACTAAACATAAATTAAAATAGAAAAAAGTAAAGCCATCAAATATATGATTTGTGATAGAAATGCCTGTACTTATCCTTAAGTCTCTATAATATCAAAAAAATTAATAACTATAGGACAAGAGATAGCAAATTAAAATTACTTTTGCCGCATGGAGTTGGATGAGACCTCTTGTAAAATCGAAGTCACATGGAGTACTAGAGAATCAAAGAATCTTGTTATTTGTTATTAATAAAGAAAAATTAATTAATTGATTAGGATAATCATCAACTTGACAATATAATTTGTCAAATTGATAAAGCTTGACAATGAAGGAAAAGCTGAGAGGGATATATTAGTAAATAAATCTAAATAATGCCAAATAAGGGCTAAATAGGTAATCTCTCAAAAAGATGAATTGAACCCCTCTTCTACTTCTTTTTTAACATCGTTCAAACCGCAAAAAGAAAACTCATTTTTTCCAGTTGGAAAACGACAATCGACCCCATCTCCTCTCTTTGGTATATATAAATATTACACACACGCAACACCCACAAATCTCAAAACCACGCTCAGGAAAATCAAAATGCCTGCAAATCCCCAAGGCTCGTCTCTCTTACTCCACAGAATTAGCACCAACTCCACGGCGGCAGCGGCGGCGGTGGCCACGGATAATTCCCTTATGGGTTGCCAGAAGCGGTCTCCGTTGACCTGCTCCACTACGCCGGTGCCTGACAGCGTGGCAAGGTACCATACACACCCTGTGGGGCCCAACCAATGCTGCTCCGCCGTGGTGCAGCAGATCGCCGCTCCCGTGTCCACAGTCTGGTCCGTGGTGCGCCGCTTCGACAACCCCCAGGCTTACAAGCACTTCGTGAAGAGCTGCCACGTGATTGTCGGGGACGGCGACGTGGGCACCCTCCGTGAGGTGCACGTTATCTCGGGTCTCCCCGCGGCTAGGAGCACAGAGCGCCTAGAGATCCTGGACGACGAGCGCCACGTTCTCAGCTTCAGCATCGTAGGCGGAGAACATCGGCTCGCAAACTACAGGTCCGTCACGACCCTCCACTCCACACCCGCGGGAAACGGAACAGTCGTGGTGGAGTCCTACGTTGTGGACGTGCCACCAGGCAACACGAAGGAAGAAACGTCCCTGTTCGCTGACACGATTGTCCGGTGCAACCTCCAGTCTCTAGCTCAGATCGCCGAGAATCTCGCCAGACGGAGCAACAAACCATCGTTGAGTTAAATTCTTCGTGTCTTAATTAGTCTTTGATGAAACACCGTAATTTTTTGTGAGTATCCGATGTGGGTAGCGGATGGAACATCTTGATCCTCGTCTTCATCTTCATCTTCCTCACTGCTTATGCCCTAGATTTTTTTTTTTTTATTTTTGGAAATTTGATGTCTTGTAAAATATTATATCAGTCTTTTCTAGCAATATGTTTAGCCATATATCACTCCATTATCGTAGAAAAGAAAATATATTTAGCCTCGATAGATCCCACTTAGTATTGTCATTGCTGCCGACGAATAATTTAAAATTCAAGATATTATGTCATAGGGAAAAAGAAAATTTATATATGTTGGAGTGGAAATTAGTTTAATCTTGGAACTTTCCATGTGAAAGGAGTAGCCTTCATCATTTTCATATATAATGCAAAATATCTGGCCGAACTTGTTAATTAAGAAAGAACTTGTGGGAACGAGGGTTGTTTGTTTAAAACGAACATTGTTAAGAAAGCGCTCTGGTGCGGAAAATTTTGCAGATCATACCGAGAATTAGGGTTTCAGTATTGTCCTTAATAGGATGTAAATTAAGATGAGAAAAGTAGAAGTTAGTCAAAGTATTTTAATATTTAAATTATCATAACTACTTCATTTATTAAGAATATTTAAATTTTGACCAAACTTCTATTTTTTAAAATTCCAATCAAGATTAGTATTCAAAATTTTGGACTAAGAAAAAGGAGAAGGGGAAAGCGAAAGGGAAAGGGAAAGGGGAAGGGGGGAGTGTAAATTTCATGGGAAGAAGTCTAGGAGTCTAAGACGAGAGGTGCAACCCAGAAATTCCCCGTTGGAGAATTGCATTTGCATGGGTGGGGGCATATTGTAATAAAATAGAGAAAATGGCAAGTTGTGTGATGTAAGGGTTCTAGAAGATTGGGTGCAAGTTGGGGGGATTTAATAAAAAAGAAGTGCAAGTTGTAAGATGCAGTCGTAGTATAAGTGTGAAAGGATAGGCAAGTTGGAAGGATAGGCAAGTGGGAGGAGGTGCTTTAAATGATCCTCGTGTACTGTTGTCTGCTTTTGAATGCGTTCACGCCAACCATTCCCTCCCTCTTCTCCTCTCATGGGTTTCTTCTTCTCTTTTTAGCTTTTTTTTTTTTTTCTTGCAATTGAATTGACCCACGACGACCAAGAAAAAAATTTTTTTGACCGAGAGCACAAATCGGCCGACGTTGTCAACACTTCCAAATTGACTATGTATGATCCTGTTTGCTGTAAATATGTAACCATAACTTCTAGGTAAATTTTACTAGAATAATATAATTATAATATTATATAATATTATAAATTTATAATTATATAATAATAAAATATAAATTTATAATATTATAATTATATTATTTTGATATAATCTGTTTGAATAAAATTTTTCAATTATAAATGTACACTGGTGAGACGCATCCAAAATATGTGATTATTGCACTTAATCCTTCAAAGCAAGTGACCTTCAAATTATTTTGGAGGTGTACTCTTCTTTTTTTCATGGTAGGTTCGAACCCACTCTTCTCACCTTGTTCAAAAAAAAAAAAAGAAAAAGAAAGAAATATGTGATTATTGTTCATAGCTCGAAACGCAAGAAATGCTTTGCTTTGTAGTTGTAATATTCTCTTGGGCAGTAATAATGTTCTCTCTTTTTTTTTTGGTACATAGTAATAATGTTCTCTTTTCTCCTCTCCTCCATAACTAATTTTTAGCTTGGAAATGTGTAAAATAATTTAAAAATCATAAATATAAAAAAAATCTAAAAAATAAAGTAAATATAACTTTTAAAAAGATTAAAAAATCCTTTTTTAAAACAACATTTAACCCTGTTTCAGTTTTTTCACAGAACACTTTCCAATAATAAGAAACAAACACTACAATTGAAATTTCTTTTCTTTTATGGTATAAAAAACTAAATATTTTTTTATAAATCGGTTGATTAATATATCTAATATTTTAATTGATATTAATTTTTTTTAAATAAATTCCTAAAGAATCGAATTTGAACCATTACCCTGAAAAAAAATATGTATTTATATATGATCTGACATCATTGAACCAAAAATTCAAGTACAATTGATATTAAAATTTAAACTATAATAATATCATATAGAAATATCTCATTTTCTTTGCCTCAAATTGTAACAGTAAAAAAAGAAATTATTTAACCTCAAATAAACAGCACCAGCTATGTTCGTACATAAAAATTGTTTTTTTTTATAAAAGCAGTGGTTAATAAATTAATATTATTAAATGTTAATAATTAAAGATCCAATTTTCAAATCTAATAAACAGATTACTAGCTTTAATGAAGAGTGGGAACATCAAATCATTTTATGGAGTTATTGCATAAAAATTGTTTTGGTACATCGTATCTCTCGGATACAGACATTAATTTAACATGTACGATAGGATATCAAACAGCCTTACCAAACACGCATCCATGTAAAGAGTTATGTTTATGCTGAGTTAGGAACTTAGGATGCTCTTTTATTATTATTATTATTATTATTATTATTATTATTATTTTACCGAAGACTACACAAGGGGGACCTAGGGTTGAAATTTTTCTAATTATCACGAGTGAAATTAAAAGAAAAAGAAAGTAGTCCATGTGGATGGAAAATAATGTAGCATATAATATGTGCTGCATGACCTGTAAGGGAGAATGAATAATAAATTGAGATAGTCTATTTTAGGGGTTTTTTTTTCTTTAATGAGAGGTTTTTTTTCTTTATTTAGAAATTTTTACTTAAATTATACCAATATTTCATCGGCTTGTGCTCCAATGGAGAAGGAGGATAGCGGGGATGTAATGGTTGGATTAAGATGGGTTGTAGCGCTTACCTTGATAATAGTTGACATGAATTAGGAATTAAATGCTGGCTAATCTTTCTATTTTAGAAGTTAATTTCTAGATGTGATTACCCACAGCGCTCATGACGCTCAAAGCAGTAATTGCTCAAATCCAAATGCAGCACACCTTCTGTTAATGGTGTTGTAACTTTAGATTCCATTAGCTGCCTATGGCTTCGGTAGAGATTCAAAGTTTATCTACTTATATATTTACGTATATAGCAGTTTTCATAAATTTACTTGTATGTATTTTTTTTTTTTTAAACATTTTGACATGAGATAAATTCAAAATTCATTTAAAGGAAGAGGGAGTGTATCAATATAATAACTAATGTTATTATTAAACTTTTAAAGTAAGGTGTTGTTGGTATATATTAATTATATTCATTTAACAAAAATTTATGATTATTTAATAAAAAATATACTTAATTTTAACATTAAACATAAATATCTTTAATGGTATGTGTAATTGAAAATAATCTATAAAAAATAAAAATCATTTTCTCATTTGTATAATAAAAATTTAAACTCTCATTTCTCTCTGCCCCCCTCGTGAGAGTTTCAAGTTGTCCCCATAAAAAAATAAATTATGTGATAAATTATGTGCACTCTGGCGCTCCATGCCACAAAAATTGATAAATTAAGAAAAAGAAACATATCATGATAAAAGACGAGCCATGGGATAATAGTAGGACCGTACCACCTCTGGAACGGACGTATTATTTAGATCTTAGGGGTAGGGGGCCACATCTGAACTGCCTTATCCAACTCCAATTGGCAACATAAATTTAAAAACTACAACTCCAATCACCAATGTTCAACTGGCATGTTTTCAGTTGAAAAAAAAAATGTTCAACTGACATGTTCATAAAAAAAAAAAATGTAACATTTTTTTTTTCTTTCATTTAAAAAATATATTTTTAATTTCTTTACTTAAAAATATGTTTTTTATTTTTAAAGTTTAAAGTATCCATAATCATTACCCTTTTTAAAGTTTTTTTAATTTTTTTTACCTTATTTTAAAATTTTTATTATCTAATATATTATAGAAGTAAAAAAACAACGAAGAGGTTTAAAAAAAATAATATTTTAAATTTTAAAGATAAAAAAAAAATTTAGGTAAAAAAATATAAAAAAAAACTTTTTATTAAAATGGAGAAGTCAAAAAAGGGTTTATTTAAAAAACAAAAATAAGTCTGACGTATTACAGATTATCGCCGGCCTTTGTGTCCTGATGATTCATCCCCTAAAGTAGGAAAAATTCTACTGAATTATGGGGATACCGTTGATGTGGTATTTTGATCAATCATAATGTGCTTTATCATCATTTTTACTGTTAAATGAATTGACATGATTAATGACATGAAGAAATTTTTATAATAAAATATACTGTAATTGACCGAAAATATCACATCAACGGCATCCATAAGATACAATAGACTTTCTCCTAAAGTGGGGAGGAACCACCAACTCATTTTATGCACCTCAGTATCTGTTCAGTATCTGTTCATTTTAAATTTATAATCATACATACCTGATGTTAAAATTAATTAAATTAATTATATTTATATTATATTTAAATAACTAAACCAAATGAGTATTTAAAAATATATGTTAAACTAGAAGATATATCAATTATTTTTCAATACTTATTTTACCTACTAAATTTTACTTGAACAAGGTAGTTAATACATTTTTCTTTTTTTGCACAGATTTGCCGATAAAACACTTAATTAAGTATTTAATACTTAAGTAATTGGCGCTTGCATGTTATGCTTACATAAAATTAAGTAATTTGATGAGAGAGTTACGTTTTGCACCCCAATATCAAAAGAAGGAATATGTGCTAAGATTTATCATATAATTAAGCCTAAGTTCTCAACCTTATCTAGTTTTTTGAAGCTTTCAAGTTGTTGAGGTAACTTTGAAGGCAAAGATTAGTGGATGCAGAGATGTCACCAACTCAAACCTAATATCCCTTCATTTAATTTGACCATCATGTATCCACAACAGCTCCAGCCTAACCATAATATAGGAAAAATACATCACCACTTGGGCTAACAGCCTGGTTTGTATCCTAAGTTACCAGAACACACCCCTCAATTTTGCAAACTATCATGCTCAGGAGGAAGGCTATTTCGGTAATTCAAAGCACCGATGCTCAAATCAAGCCTCCTTTCTGTTGCTTTCTTTTAACTACCAGAAATGGCATACAGTAAAACAACTCCTGAAATATGATTTTCCACCCACCGCCCCCATGAAAACTTCAAAATCAGGAATAGAGAAGATGGAAAACACAGATAAACTAATGGCAAAAAAACAGCAACTGGTTCCAGGCATCTGGGGTATCAGGAGCAGCTTCCATTCCCTCATTATCCTCCTTATTGTCGTCCTACTCCTTGCCTGCGTTTATGATCTACGCCGGTATAGCATTCAGGACCAATTACTAGGAGCACACAAAAATTCAAATGTTGTAGCAGCATTATCAGGGTGCAACTTGTTATCCGGACAATGGGTATATGACAACAAATCTTACCCTCTATATAAGGAAAAAGAGTGCATGTTCATGTCAGACCAAATAGCTTGTGAAAAGTTTGGGAGAAACGACATGAACTACCATTTTTGGAGATGGCAACCTCACCAATGTGACCTCCCTAGGTCTTTTTTTCATTTTTTGCTCCATCTTAATTTCCACTTCTTTTTTTAAAAATTTTTCATGTGAATTTTATATACATAGAAAAACAGGATGCATGGTGAGAATGTGATGGTTTATTTTTGGGTGTGTTTTTGAGTTTTGTGGAATGTTTGTTTTGTTTTATGTTAACAAGGTTCAATGCCACAGCACTTCTTGAGAGGCTAAGGAATAAGAGGCTTATGTATGTGGGGGACTCACTGAACAGAAACCAGTGGGTTTCCATGGTCTGCCTCTTGGGCTCAGTCATCCCTGCACCCTACAAGTCCAAATACCAAAATGGCTCATTATACACCTTCAAGGCCATTGTGAGTGTTAATTCATTTACGTCTTTATTATTTTTGGGATCAAATCTAGTTTTAATGGCATATTAATTATTGGGATTTTTATTTTTATTTTTTTGGTATTTTGTGATATTTGGAACAGTGGCTAAATTTTGTTGATTAATGTTAATTATCAAGGAATACAATGCAACAGTTGAGTTCTATTGGGCTCCTTTAATGGTGGAATCCAACTCCGATGATCCGGTGAACCACCGAATGCCGGACCGGATTGTTAGAGTTCAGGCAATTGAAAAGCATGCCCGGTATTGGACTGATGCAGACATTTTGGTGTTCAATTCCTATCTTTGGTGGAGAAGAGACCAGATGAAGGTTTTGTAAGTACTTTTTATAAGTTTGGAAAATTGAAACTAATTAATTTGATTCTCAGTACTAATTGTGTCCGACTTGGGGATGGTTAGGTGGGGATCTTTTGACAGTTCAGATGGAATTTACAAAGAGATGAAGACGTTAAGGGCATATGAAATGGCACTAAAAACATGGGCGGATTGGTTGGAAGTTCATGTCAATAGAACCAAGACCAAGTTGTTTTTTGTTGGCTTGTCACCCACACACGAAAAGTAAGTCCAATACCGTTTTTGTTTTGTTTTGTTTTGTTTTTTGCAATACATCAATTTGGCCGCCATTAATACTCGTAATTTATTGAAGCTCTAAGATTCCTTGAGACAACCAGAAAGGAACGTGGAATAGAAGTTTGTGTTGTTTATGGACGAGTAGATTATAAAAAATAAAAAATAATAGAAAAAAATTTTTTGACGTGGGATATGAATTTCAGGGCTGAATCGTGGGGAGGAGAAAAAGGACAAAATTGTTACAATGAAACAGAACCAGTACCAAGGGAAGGATACCTGGAGATGGAATCAGATCTTGAGCCAGAGATGATGCAGGTAGTAGAGAAGGTGCTCCATGAAATGCCAACGAGAGGGTTGAGTGTGCAGTTTATAAACATCACACGACTTTCCATGTACAGGAAAGAAGGTCATCCATCAATTTACAGGAAGCATTGGGAGCCATTGACTGATGAACAAATATCCAACCCCAGCAGTTACGCAGATTGTATACATTGGTGCCTCCCTGGAGTCCCTGATGTGTGGAACGAACTTCTCTACGCTTACATCTTTGACAAAGATGAACTGAATTCAGTAAACAAAGCCCTGTAACTTCTGGAATGAGATTTACAGTCTTGATCGGACAGCTTCTCATGTAACTGTAATGAAAACTATGTATGCAAGTGAATTCAATTTCCTTTTATGATATTGAGTTATACTTTAACCTCTTAATTTCACTCTCATTTGCTCATCATGCAATTTGAATCTTGAACTTTTTAATTTGTGAAAATTATCATTAAATTACCATTATCTTTTTACCTTATTTTTTACTTGGTAATATAATCTTACTTTGGTTTTCTTCCTATATTTGGTGGGGAAGTTCCCACATCAAAGTTTTGTAAGTACAATTTCAGAACCTAATTAGATTCTTCAGTGCGGCCTAATTAAGTTTAAATTTGATTTTATCAGGTAGGGATCTTTTGAAAGCCAAGATGGAATTTATAATAAAAGACACTGATTCAGGATAATCTTTTTATATCACTTTTAAGTATAACCTCACATATTAATTAAATAATTAATTTTTTTATTTATTTAAATTTATAATATTAAATGTATTTACTCATTAAATAACATATGCAAGTTATACAAAAAATCATATAAAAAAATTATACCTATATCACTTTGCCATATAAAAAAAATGGATATGCTAACGGCATATGAGATGGCACTAATTAAAGACGTGCATGGGCAGAGTGGTTAGAATTTCATGTCAACAGGCACAAGATTCAATTGTTTTTTTGTTAGCATGTCTCCTTTTCACCATAAGTAAGTTAATTAATTTTATTTCAACCTAACTTCTTTGAAAACATCACGATTAAAATTACTCCAACCCAGTATTTTGTTTAATACATGCATGTTAGATGTGTAAGGTATACTGGTAACATTAGAAAAATACAATAAAAATATCAACTTGCTCAACGAATTCCAGTGCGGCCCCATGGGGTGTAGGCAGAGATCAAAATTTTTACAATGAAATAGAGGCGATAGAAATGGAAGGATATCCAGGGATGGAATGGGACGTAAATCTGAAAATGAAGAGGGTTGTAGAGAAGTAGCTGAATGAATTGCAAAGGAGAAAGGTTGAATGTGCAGATGCTCAACATCACACAACTTTCTGCGTATAGGAAAGAAGGACATCCATCAATTCCCAGCAGGAACCAATGGCAGCCATTAACAAATGAACAATCATCCAACCGAAGGACCTATGCAGATTGTATACATTGGTGCCTCCCTGGAGTGCGTGATGTCTAGAACCAACTTCTCAATGTTTATATCTTATTACACATTTAACAATGTAGACCGTACTATACCGTGCTGCATTAAAACATAGATATCACATTGAAGAACCGTACCCTTTTGATTTTTAAATGGTTAGCTAAGTAGTCCATTTGCAAGCTTGACTTCCTAATTATGGTTAGGCAATTATTAGCCAGGTCAAAATGAGCTTTCTTGACAAAAATCCCAAACGGCCAAGTTTACCTAAACACTAATCAAAACCACACAATTATTAATCAAAAAACGTAGCTCTTAGTGGGACCATTTCCCTAACAATACACCTGGCAGAATCTAATTGGAGGAGAATCCATATTAGTGGGACCATTTCAGGTAATCATGCCTAATAGCGAGGCTTCTTATTAAACACGACGCAGGATGAAAGAAAGATTCTACATTGTCGGCTTTAAATCCGTATTTCACGTTTGTTGTCTCTGTCAATGGATTTTCCTTTCATTTCCTTTTCTTTTCTCGTTAGTCTGTTTTCAATGGTTTAGGTGTTGATTTGGAAACCATATTGAGAGCTTTAGATTCTCACATCTGTCAAATACTACTTTGATTTCCATGATGCAGAGATGGAACAGAAAGAAACCCCATTTTCCTATACTAATTCTTCTCTTCATTCTCTTCATCGTTTTCACAATCCTCTACAACGAGCTTAACATTCGGCAAATCAATGAAGACCCAGATCCTGTCTCTCGCAATCAACGAGCTTCAATCACTTACGTGAAACCAAATCTTGCAAAACGAGCTTCAGGTACTGGGTTTCTCTAAAATCTTGTGATTCTTGCTTGATTTTGACTATGGATCTCTTTTTTCTTGGTTATTTCGAGTTTCTTTGTGTCTTTCTTTGATGGGTTTGTGAAAATATTAACGGTTTTGGTGTGTTCTTAGAGGTTTTGGATAGATTCAGTACTTGCAACTCTACTAGGGAATACAGTTGGAGGAGGATCGGGTGGGTTGATCCGAGTCCGAATTTGGGCCGGGGGAGAGTCGATGGAGAGAGCTGCGATGTCTTCTCCGGCAAGTGGGTATTTGACAACAGGTCGCATCCACTGTACAGTGAATCGGAGTGTCCTTACATGTCGGATCAGCTGGCATGCCACAAGCACGGGAGGGCTGATTTGCTATACCAGTACTGGAGATGGCAACCTCATGATTGCAATTTGAAGAGGTACTTCTTTTGGTTGTCCTTTTCACATGTTGAATTGGAGACCAATTTTTAGATTTGCCTTTGATAGCTGTGAATTCATTTTGCTTGGAGCTAACTGAGTTTCTAGAAGGGTGAATTGAACTCAAGAAATCCTTCTCAAATCCCCATATGCATGGTAGATTCTGGTTAGATGATAAGAATAGTGGTATTTGGTGGAATATGATTCTTGCACTTTGGAAATTATTTTGTTAATATAAATCAGTTTCCCATCTTTGTTCTCTTTTCTGGTGTGTTAGATGGAATGTGAAGGAAATGTGGGAGAAGTTGAGGGGGAAGAGGCTCATGTTTGTTGGTGATTCACTGAATAGAGGACAGTGGATATCAATGGTGTGCTTGTTACAGTCGGTTATTCCAGCAGATAAGAGATCCATGTCCCCCAATGCCGAGCTTACCATTTTCAGAGCAGAGGTAAGACAAAGGAATGCTATCTTTTTGTTACCTAGAACTAACTTCACAAGTTTGTTTCTGCATTGTCCTCTATGAAGCTCCTCACTGATGTTGAATATATGATATCTATGTATTGTTGTTCCTTAACGCTCTGAGCTCTGTCTTGTGTCTTTAACTCATTCACAGGAATACAATGCCACTGTGGAATTTCTCTGGGCTCCACTTCTCGTTGAATCAAATTCTGATGACCCTGTGAATCACAAATTGGCTGACCGAATAATTCGTCCAGATTCAGTAACTAGGCATTCATCACAGTGGGAGCATGCTGACATACTAGTGTTTAACTCATACTTGTGGTGGAGGCAAGGCCCAGTTAAGCTCTTGTGAGTACAATGACATCTAGTTTCTAATGTTGGAAGGACTAGATTGTATTGAAGATATATTGAATTCTTAATTAACCAATAACCTTTTCAGATGGAGTGATGAGGAAAATGGTGCTTGTGAAGAACTAGATGGGCTTGGTGCCATGGAGTTGGCCATGGGGGCTTGGGCAGACTGGGTAGCTTCTAAAGTTGATCCCCAGAAGAAGCGGGTCTTTTTTGTTACCATGTCTCCAACACATCTCTGGTGAGTGTCTTAGTCATAAACCAAATTATTCTATTTATGTTGCCATTTGGTATAATGTATATCTCGTATGGTGAAAGTCTGCAAATTTCTTTTATTATTTATACATACAAACATCTGAGATGTAGATGGCGAGCTTCATTTTAAGGCTTCCCTTAGCTTGAAAAACTGAACGGAAGCTTGTTTTATGCCTGATAGTTCAGTTTGGATTCATGTCGGTTTCAATGTCTCTTTCTCCTAGAGGCCTCACTTAACCAATTAGTATGCTTGAGTACCTGTCTTCTTTAAGGCATTTCACCCTTTAGCCTTTCATCTATATTGAAGGACCACTTAAGAACTAGCCAGATATTACCTTTTTCGCATTGATCAGGAGCCGAGAGTGGGCACCGGGAACTGAGGGAAACTGCTATAACGAGAAGACCCCTATGAATTTGGAGGGCTACTGGGGAAGTGGCTCTGATCTTCCAACAATGCGCATGGTTGACAAAGTGCTTGCTCGATTGAGTACAAAGGTATCTGTTCTGAATATCACTCAGCTCTCAGAATACCGAAAAGATGGCCACCCTTCCATCTACCGGAAATTCTGGGAAACACTCAGACCAGAACAATTGGCAAACCCTGCGAGCTACTCCGATTGCATACACTGGTGCTTACCTGGTGTTCCTGATGTATGGAATGAGTTTCTGTTCCATTTTTTGTAGCGAGTAAATTGTACATTTCATATTCTTCAATTTCTCAAAATAGCAAAAGAAAAGGGAACATTTAATTGTAATTTGTTGGCTTCTTTTAATGCCAAATGCAGCAGCCCTTCAAAATTTCAGACCAAAAATTGCATATGGTCAGTGATATTTTTTATTTTGGTTATTAATAAATACTGAATTGGATCATGGACAAATAACATATAACATAAACTTAAAACATTGACTAAATCTCATTTACATCTTTGATCAAGGACAATTTTCAGTATAAGAGACACAATTTTGCTTTTCTCCACTTTATATATATATATATATATATATATATATATATATATATATAACC